AGAAAACACCCACCCACACCCCACACCCACACCCTTAAGTGTACTAATTCCTCAAGACAATCAAGTACTTGACGTGCTTCATTTGTTGTTGACTACTTACTGTTGATGCTGATTTAATAATTGGCATAACATTTATCTGAAAAGCAGAAAAAAAAGAAATAAATCAAGATTTTTTCGTTTTTGTTGAAAAGAAATCAAGAACAAATAAATGTTTATATTGATATTAAACGAAATAACATATTCATTGCATTGCACAACAGAAAAATCAATATACATGTATCTGACAAAATGAATAAAAAACGAAAAAAAAGATGTAATTTGTTGTTCATTTTGTTAAACTTCGATTTTCTTTAGGTAATGTATCAACATTTTTTTTACTGTCGTATTTTTAAAAAATATATCTTCTAAAACAAATTATAATTTTCCCATAATTTGTAATCTTATATCAAAGGCCATTGATGATTATTCATGAAATAATTTATCTATTGTTTGATTATGAAGAACTATTGTTGCACGATTATATAATGTTGCCATTAATGATGATAATGATGATGAATTATGTTCAGTTTTATTTGATAATTGTTATTTAACTAAATCAAATTCATTTGATGTATACATAAAACTATCTTTATTCATAGCATATGTTTGAATTATTTTACCTTTAGTTTTTAAATCTTATGTTAGTAATTGTATATAATAATTTAAAAATTCAATTTTTTTTTTCATTATGTCATACAAGCAATTTTTGTTGTTTTAATAATTTATCAATTGATTTTTGATGATCTATATCAACGATATTAACAACAACTTCTTGTTCTTCAGCAGCCGGAATATCGTGTTGTTGATGTTGATGTTGATTGAAAGAATGAGTCGAATATTGATCAGGAATTAATATAACGACCGGTGGAGTATTTTCGTTTGATGAACAACTTGAAAACTTGTACTAGATCCACGACTTGCTAGGTCAAATTTTATATGTTATTATTGGGGTCTCAAAGTATGATGATCTTACCTTGGAATTGACTAAGTAATGCTGGTGTTGATGATGATGGGGTAATGGAATAAGAAGTGTAAAATGAGGGGGGGGACGAGGGGAATTTATTATGATGATAATACTGATAATAATAATAATGGAAGACGACTCGCAGATAATACAATACAACCTTCCACTAGATAGGAGAAAGTTCAACTGAACTATATCAAAATCTGAGAAAATCAGAAAGAGAGAGAATGACAGAACGAAAAAGAAAAATCTAACTATAGAACGAACGAAAGAGAAAAAAGCAACTAACAGAAAAATGAAAGAGAAGACACCAACAAATGAAAGAATAACAAGAAAAGACCAATTGAACGAAGTTCAATTAAGTTTGCGTCAACATAATGCCATCTGTTGACGCTAACAATAATCTGTCGCGATCCGCTCAGGAGAACTCTTCAAGTACGAGACACTCCTCTTCAGATAGATCTCAACGAGCTGTATCTGATGCACACACTTTTCACCTTCTCCAAGTACTCAGTGACCCGGAAAATCGTTAATTAGTACTTCGTTAGCCCATTTTTTTAAATTCTTGTCGTCACGATTCGCCCAGGAGTATTCTCCAAGTGCGAGACATATCTCTCCAGATGGATTTTGACGTACTCCACTAAATGCATGAGTTATAACTTCAGTGACACCCTCGTGACCCCAAGAAAGTGCATAAAAGCCGGAGGATTTCACGTCTTTCTGAGAATTTTTCGAATTTCAATTAGATTTTTTCTCTAAATTAAAATTATTCATGTTCAAAGGAGAGAAAATTAAATTTCATGAACAAGAAAACATATGAACAACATTCATCTGCAAAAGCATTGAGATAATTCCTTATTTTCAGTGTCGATTTTCGAGAGTGTGGGTGTGGGTGAGGTGTGGGGTGTGATTGTGTGGGTGCAGGTTTAGGTGGGTGTGTGGGTTTGTGTATGGTGTGTGCGTGGGTGTGGGTGTGAGTATGGGTGTGGGTGTGAGTATGGGTGTGAGTGTGATGTGAATGAGTACTGTCTACTCCCACACCCACCCACACCCACACCCACACCCACACCCACATCCACACCCCACACTCACACCCACATCCACACCCACACCCACACCCACCCCACACCCCACACGCACACCCACACCCCACCCACACCCACACCCACACCTACACCCACCCACACCCACCCACACCCACACCACCCACACCCACACCACCCACACCCACACCCACACACCCACATCCACACCCACATCCACACCCACACCCACGCCCACACCCACACCCCACCCCCACCCCCACACGCCCACATCCACACCCACATCCCCACACTCACACCCACGCCGACACCCACACACCCACATCCACACCCACACCCACATCCACACCGACACCCACACTCCCACACCTACACTCGCACTCACACCCACCCCCACACCCAGACACCCACACCCACGCCTCATCCACACCCACAGCCACACACCCACACCCTGAGTAGCCACCCTTATTATAAACCTTATTTTCGCCCACTTTTACTATTACTCGTCCTATGATCTTGTCTCCTTGTTCCTTTTGTCCTTGGTTATTTTTTGTTATTATCATCAATAAACCCTGAATACCTTCACCTCTACCATCATTGCCCATGTTACAAGTTATTTTATTAAGGTAGGCAGTTTTCTTTTTACGTGTGGAATATCAGACCATATACAGACCAGACACTTTTCTGTAGTTATCTTCCCGCTTACGTCATAGAACGTGTGCAGGAGTTCTTGGGTAATATACGGAAAGGCTAACAGATAATCACTCAAATAGTCATGATATGCAGCAAGACGTCGTCCATCTCTTTATCGTTTTCTATTAATGCACTAAGACATACAGATCGATCTTCGAGCAAATCGTAAGGTAATGCCGCCAAGAAGTCAGTTTTGCGGGCGTGAATCGCACCTTTCGCCGCAACCGAGTATTTGTACGCTCGAATAATATGCAAGCAGAGTTCAGCCAACGGTTTGAAGAAAGTCGATAGTTGTGACTCATCTTGCCATAGTTCGCGCAAGGCCAAACAGCAACCGACAATGTTGATGACGTTGACGAAAGAATCGCGTAGACAAGAACCGTGCATCAGAAGTAACCTGTCGTCTATATTCATATAAATCGGTGACTTAAATTCCTTCATGTGCATATCGAAAGCAAATCTTGCTTGTTCATACGTCAACGATGGAGCTGACAATGGGCGGTTGAACGCGTGTGTGCGTTGAACGAAGCCTGGATAGGGCAAGCCAAGATCTCGCTAAAATCTTCGGACCAGTAACTTCCCCAGATGATCTACAAATTCAGTTAAGTCCTTTCCATAGAGCTCTTGACGCATCGGCCAATTTAGAGCCTGATTAAGGCCCTCCAATAGCTTTTCATTAACACAAATAAACCTCTCTGCTGTGAGTAGTTCGTCGCGTGTCGTTTGATCAACTGTGTTCAGACTCGAACCAATAGGTAAAGTAAGAACGAGAAGGGGTAATGATTCGCACTGCTTCAGTTCGTCCCATGTGATTAATTTCCAGAGCATTGAGTATGCTGCTTCAAGCTTGTCAAGATCACCACCTATTAGATTGATGTGTGATTTTAGCCAATTGATTAAGTCATTCACTGATGGTTTAGGAATAGCATATTCTTTTCTGTCTAAGTGTTCGATGGCTGAACAGCCGACATGTGCAAGAAAACTGAACCTCAGTTGGCGAATTCTATCGTGTAATGAACACTTGCCTATTGTTGTAGTGTCAGAGTCTACAAGAGTTTGGTTCTCTGGAACGTAAAAAGTGCTATCATAACAGAAATCATTCGAGGGATCAGCACTCTCAACCTTGATGCAGTACGTGGTGTTTTTGTAAAGATGGTCAAAATCGATATGGGCGAAGCCTGAATCGCAAGGATCAGATAACAGTTTAATGATGTTCTTAGTCACTTTATGTTGACTTTTACCAGAGTGCTCGACAAATAGTTGAACTTTAATCGGAAACGCAGGAGGAGGAGACAGGCTCAATCGCATTTGCCAACGCACGCTGTTCTCAGCAGGGCGCAAGGAAATCTGGCATGGCATTGTGTGCGTTTCAGACGTTTCGCGATCAGCCTCAGACTGAAGGTTACGAGCACTGTTGCTTGACACTCCAATACCGCTATAACTTGGTGGCAAATTTTGAACGATTAAGTCTCGAATGCAATCATAAATGTAACCGAGTGTCGAGGTAGAGAATCGACATTCATTCATACCTTTTGTTGGATAGAAATGAGGATACTTCGGAATGCATTTATTTCGCCACAATGCTGACCATTCAATCGTTTCCACATAATTGCCTGTTTTAGCAGCATCGAGTGCATGATCAATTGCCATGTTAAATTGATTCATCAAGGGTTCCCACTCCCACGATGTCCATTTGCTACCCAATGCATCAATTACCCGCATACGCATGTCGAAGAGTTCATGAATAGATGCACACTTGACATCGATGCCATGAGGCGACATGGTTAACGCACCAGCAGCTTCGAGAAGTTTGCAGAATTTTTCTTTCCCGCTGTTTTCGACATAATCATCTTTAGGAGATCCTAGACCACTTCGAAGACGATCGTAGACTTCTTGTTTCTGAGGATCGCCTGTATGTAAAAGATGGCCCATTTCATAGAAACTGTGCGGGTATGTGGCTTGGGCCGGTACAGTTTTCGCTATTTCTTCATCAGTAGGCGGGTATTCTACCTCTATTTTAGCCGTTTCACTGGATTTATTAGTTTCTTTACAAAAAATTCGAACCCCATCTACTATTGTCTTGTCCCAGCACACAAAATATTGATCTCCGTCTAGATCACTACCAGCGATTTGACTTGGCTCCGATTGTTGACCTTGACAACTGAATACGATGATGTCAGTCAAATGACGTAATTGCTCGTTCTCACCAATCGCTTTCAGACGACGCAAATGAGAACGATGGAAGCAGGGCTCTTTCGTCACGAGAATGGGACCTTCAATCACGGTTCTTTTGCCCTTACTGGTAATAGCAATGTAGACTTGTCCTTCGTCAAGAATGTTCCAAAAATCTGCTACGCCGTAGAGGCGTCGCGACTCTTCTACCTTAATTTTGAAGCGTCGGACAAAATTCTGATAGTAACCAGCAAAAAAAGCTTGGATCAATGACTGATCGCTTTTTCTTCCTAGTAGATTGAGCGACTTGATATCATTATGTTCAATAGCAAAGTTGATGGCAGATTCACGGTTACTAAGCAACTCGATTACTTCTAGTTCGGCTAAATTCTTCAAATAATCTTTCATTTCATTTGGCTTCGTTGCACAGCCGCTAATCAATGAGATGAGGGCAAAGTTGAGTCGAGCAGGCTTCATTGGCTGCGAACATTGAATCATATCAATGCTTCGGTAAATATGGTACTCTGACAAATTTGGTGTAAATTTTACTTGACTCTTAGAGGCGACGATTCTATTTTTGCCAATGGTCGGATCGGCTACGAGCATCCCTTTCAAACCCTCTAGGCGAACTTGAAATGCCGAATAATAGTGGTTGCGGTAGGAAAGTACTTCATCAGCATACTCAACTTCGGCGTCGTGTTCAGTCCTTTCATTCCACTCCGTGACTCCAACATTTTGAGGGCTGAAGACAACATTTCGATACTTTTTGGCAGTCATCCATTTGCGAGACAGTTTCGTGGCTAGATCGACACTTACTCGACCGCAACCGTCCGTATGCTTGTTACTTCCTTTGTCCTCGTCAGTAGTCACACCCGGACGCGGTTCCAGTTCCAATGAGACGGATGGTGTAAACCAAAGGCCAAGGCGCAAGCTTATCTTGGATGGAGTCACAGAAAGCGTTTCAAAATCACTAGGACAAAACACCGTCGAAAAGAGCCGGTCACAGAACTTCTCTAACTGTTTTTTTTCTATGGATTCGAGGCTATTATAGCTGTAGGTTTTTGAGCGATGGAAAACATGCATATTTTTATGAACGCCGCCGCTTGTCGTCATTAAGTAACGAAAATTATAACCAGCCAGATAAAACCCATCTTCTATAATAGAAGTGTACGTATGTCTGAGTTCGACTGCGTGAAGACATTGTTCTTCGATCGGATCGATTCCATTCGACGACCATCGCGTGGCATAGGTCAATTTAGGATTGTTCATTTTCTCAACTTTTTTTCTCTCCTCGTCGAACTGCTTGAACCAGTTCTCTTGCGCATAGTCTTTCGACCGTGAATAGCGAATGATTTGCATGAGTACCGAAAGGTTGTAAATCAGTCCATGATTGCGGTCAGAAGAGTGCTTCTCATAATCTTTTTCTTCTTGACTTTGGACAAAACGTGTTCGTGATCCCATATCAATAGATGTGTGAGTTAAAGTGACGCGTACAAAGTTGGCTTCATCGACGTCCGACAAATTGAGGTATGGGTTTCGTGACGCTCGAGTGAGACGTGACGTTTGAAAGTCCCTATGGACAGGGTGCATTCGCAGCCGCAAGTAAGGAACACCACGCCGATCGATCAGAATCGTTGCTGCAAGCGAATGTTCAAAGTCTTTAGGGAGGGGTTTTATGTTCACTGGCACATTCTCATCCAAGCTTTCTTTGCTGGTTCTGGGGAGCTCATGGAATTGAGAAGTCTCTTCTGCATCCACGAGATGCAAATGTAAATCGCGGAGAAAGAAAAGCGGAATTGGCGCCGTTTTGGTCATTTGGACAAGTATGGCGCATCGGTCGAGAAAACCCCCTTCCTTATAGCGTTGTTTTTCTGATTTGTTAAGCAACATGCAATAGTAATCCAAAATATGTACATATTCGCGGGCGCCGTGTATATAAAACATATTATAGGCGTATACACCAAATATATCTCTGCGTTCCCAATTGGAGAAGCCAGCAAACAGTGTCCACAGCGTATGTCGCATCAGCTCTCTTGTGTTTGAGCTCTGCTCTGATGGTTGGAAAGTTTCGAATGCTTCCAGAACGGAGAGAAAAGTGCTGAAGAATTCGAATTCTGTCTGTATCGATGTCCAGCTGTAAATATCCAGCGGTATCCCGATAGACAAACGTGGAGGAACCGTATCAAGTAGTTTTTCCAGTACAGAAGTGAGTATTTTGTTCACAAATGAGTTGCTTGATTCTCCCTCACTTGTGATTGGGCTTGCTTCTTCATTTCTCGATTGGTGCGTACGTTCCATGAATAGTTGAGTCGCGGTGTGGTGGTGACCTTAAATAAAGAAGTGCATTCGACAAACAGGATTCATTGATGGACGTTTTCTTGTAGTTCAGAACAGTAGAAGGTAAATTGTATCATTATTCTCGCAGGCTGAGAAAAAGGCTGTTACCGCAATCCCTATTGAACGAAAATGTAAAACACGATCGAGCTGCTTACTTACATTATAAATGAGAAAATATTATGGTAACTTTTATGGTCTACAACGGTCTCTGGCTAGCACCTGTCATGATCTGTGACGTTTTCATGGTAATGTCGGTCACGTCTGCGGGGAGAGGGGTAAGTCCAAATCTTTACCCTATACATTTCAACACGTCTTTTAGACCATGTTTCACAAAATGTTTACTAAAAAATCCAAAGACGTCCTAATTTTCACAACGAATCCCGTGACTTGTTACATTTTATATTCAACTCATTTTTCCTCCTTGCGAAAAAAGTTTTGTACACAGTTTATACCAGTCAACAAGGTTTTTTTCTAGTGTTTCATATAGCGAAACAATTTTCTGGTACAGACTCTTATCGAACTAACAATCTTATCTATTCCATTGGCGCATAAGTTCTGAGAGTTTGGATCAGTAGAATAAGATCGCCAATATAAAACTACATTTTAAGGAAAGTAATTATATATTCTGATAGCGATTGGAGTTCTCTATCACCCTGTGTATTTAAGTCTTGACTTGCATTTATTTGCTGAAAAGTTTTTGAATACAATGAAGACACCCTCACCCGCATTGACAATGTTCGAAATATTTCTCAGCAAGTAAGTTCAAGTCAAGAACTGAATACACAGGGCGATAGAGCATTTCAAGAGCTCTCAGAATATATAATTACTTTTCTAAAAAACGCATTACTATATGGATAAAAATTTTAAAAACACGTGAGAAAAGATGAAAAAATGAAGTTTGTGGGAATCTGATGGCGAGGGTGTCTTCACTGTACTCAAACTATTTTTCAGCAAATACTAATAAATGGAAGTCAAGATTTAAATACACAGGGTGATAGAGAATTCCAATCGCTATCAGAATATATAATTACTTTCCTTAAAATGTAGTTTTATATTGGCGATATTATTCTACTGATCCAAACTCTCAGAACTTATGCGCCAATGGAATATATGCCTAGGCTAACTATCTCTATATCTACTCCAACTAATCATCTAACTAACTAATTATTTATAGGACTATCTATCTGACTTAGTACCTATCTATCCACTTCACTAACTATCTATCTAAATATTTATTCTGTGTGTCTATCTAACTGGGTAGTTCCATGGGTAGTTAACCACAAAAAACACAACATCCTCAAAAAATTTTCTTTTATTTTAGACTTTGTAGCGCCTTCTTTGCTGATCATTTTGGTAAAAAAAGTTATAGGTTTCCTTCAAAAATAGCGAAGTTATTGTCAAAATATTGAAAATCCAAAAATTGCT